GGGGCCCTCCACCCGAATCTCAGGATTCAATGGGTGGCTTGGCCACTGTCAGGAATCGCCTCCAGAAGAGCGGTATTCCTGCACGAGTTGCAGACACAATACTGGCTTCGCGGAGGGATTCGACAAACGTTCAGTACGATAGATAGGCCTGCTATGCGCCCAGGTGTGTCGATAGAGGGATTGCAGATCTTTTTTCTGCAGATCTCGTATCCGTGCTTGAGTTTCTCCAGTCGCGACTAGATGACGGCCTGGCCGCATCAACAGTCCGAGGGTACTCTACAGCTATCGCAGCTTTTCACGTCCCTGTCGACGGGGCACTTCTGGGTGCACACCCATTAGTGCAGCGCTTTTTAGCAGGTGTGGACAGGATCCGACCGCCAGTCCGGCGGATCAGTCCCCCTTGGGACTTGTCAATCATTCTAGATTGGCTGTCCGGTCCTTCCTTTCGGGATCTGTCGTCTCTCTCTCTTCAGCTGTTGAGCTGGGAGACGGCGTTCCTTGTGGTGGTAACGTCCGGCAGACGGGTAGGCGACATTCGTGTTATGTCAGCCGATCCCAAAATAACTGTCTTCCATGGGGTCGATAAATATCACCGGGACAGTCAGTTTTCGTCTACCGGACTATTACCGTCCTAGGGTCGCACACGATTCCACGTGAACGGCTCCTATTGAGCTACCCGCTCTTTCACAGCCTTCCTCGTCGGGGACCACTGCAAGACATGCTCATGTCTTGGATGTCCGCACGACTCTCAAGGCCTATATCAGCAGAAATATGGGTGTCCGTAAGGATAACCAACTATTTTGCTGTTACTGCGGTAGGAAGGTTGGCTCACCTGCGAGTAAACAATCTATCTCGAGGTGGATAGTTTCAAACATTTGTACAGCGTATACGCTTACAGGCAGGGACCCCCCTACCAGGTTGAAGGCTCATTAGGTTAGAGCAGTGGCTGCGTCAAAAGCGTACGCCGCGGCTCTGCCCATTGAGCAGATCTGCTCCGCGGCTATTTGGAGCCAGCCGAGCACGATTCATCAAACCTTACCAACTCGACAAACACTCAAGCGAGCGTACTCGGTTTGGTCAGTCAGTTCTCCGAACTGGGCAAAGTTCTAATCTCTAGCTGATTGAGCATTCGAGATTTTAGACAGTCTTCCGGTTATACTGCTCAGTAATGGTCCGGATTTTATCTTCTGCGGTCGATAAATATCAGTCCTTACTACTCGATAATACTCGTATTTTGCGCACGCACTCCTTCGATCCTCGGGGACCCTCTGGCCTAGCTCAGCGCTGGTTATGGTCTCTCGTGATCTACGCCCTTATATCACTTGTTCAAAAAAGTGTGGGGGGGGTGGGAGGTGTTTCGAGTTCTCAACTTATGACAAGCCGCAAAAACAGGCTTTATCATAATATATGGTCGACCACGCCCTGTCTCTAGCCCCCACCTTTTGACGGTGGTGCCTCACGATAAGGTTGGTTCCATTTATTGAACTCAATATTTTATTCTGTTGAATAATCAAATACGATGTATTTATTTACGCCTGTTGCTGACGGATGCCACTTCCTAGATTATCTTTGGGAGTCTGTCTTGATGCAATAAGTGCCCCAAGGAGGATTTAATCAGAAAGAGAATTTTACAAACCTGTAGAGGTTATGAATTCTCTGATGAAATCCTCCTTGGGGCACGGCCACCCACCTCCCCACATTCCGTCAGCATTTGACATATGGAAAGTGATTTGGGTGAGAGTTGCTCCCCCTGGCGTGAGGCGCCGTTGGGGGTGAGGCCCCGTAAGGGTGGTCGTATATCATACAAAAACGAAGTTTTTTGTGTGGTAACATTTTTTATTAAGGAAAATGGTTACAACTATGTCATATAGATTTTCTTGAGCAAGGAAAATGCAATAAGTGCCCCAAGGAGGATTTCATCAGAGAATTCATAACCTCTACAGGTTTGTAAAAGTTTCCAGGATCTGCTGGTTGTATGTTGTATCCCAGATTGACCCCAATCATAATTCTGGGTTTGTCAACACCATACCCGTGGGTTTTATCAAAGTTGTAACTGTCATTGTCCATGTAAATATTACACGGAACATTTAGGTGCCCCGTTAATCATTGGTATCCTTACAGCATCCATTGTAATGTTTAATTTTAAACTTATCCTATTTCACATGATGTGTTTTTTCTTTCTTCTTTGATCCAATGTGGAAACATGCTTGAACAGAGTTTCCAGCTTCTAAAAAACAATCCGTCCGAACATACCCCAGGATCACCATGGTCGCCTCCCTAACAAAAGGGTCACATCATATGCATAGTGACCTCCATAACTTGTCCACGAGCCTCCTTTGTCTGTCACTTCATTCTCTTTCTCATCATCACATTGTAGTGACATGTTTGATCATAAGAGAATAATTCTTTCTCTCAATGATTGCCCTGTACTTAGCGCAGCCGTTTTTATACCATGCTAAGGGGAATGGGACAGAAGAAGGAAAAAGCGACAGATAATCTGCGTCCTGCTTGTTAACAATGTACATGTACTTACTCAACGCTGATGACCGCCTCCATGGTCTAGTGGTAGAGTGTCCGCCCGGAGAGCGGAAGGTCCGGGGTTTGATCCCCGGCCGCGTCATACCAAAAGACGTTAAATGATGGTACTTGTTGTTACCCTGTCTGGTGCTCGGCATTAAGGGGCTAAAACAAGGACTGGTCGGCTCGGAGTCAGTATACTGTGTCTGAGTGGGGTATTCATGTTAAACTGCGGCATGGTATCTCAGTGAGCTAGCACTATAAATCGGCATCAGTCTGGACTAGTACAAGCAGCCACACAAACACACACAGGTACATGCACGTCGCTATATAAGTGCAATAATCTTGGACGCGATGTTGAACCCCATTTCACCACCTACTCGACGCTGAAGCTCAAGGGATCTACTCAGGCCATGTATCTTGCTGCGGTCAACTTCATTGCCACTACCATGGGATCGAAGATCTCAACTGTTGCTGAACTTCAATCGCTCAGTCAGTCCTTCAAGTTGGCGGACCAGTCATCCGGTTCCAGCCTCCTTCTTGGGACCTTTTTACCATCCCGTGACTGATGCTCATCTTGGGTTCGGAAGACCGAGAAGATATCTCCTTGTGTCCAGTGAGAGCTCTTTGTACTTACTTGGCGGCTGCGAGTCCATGTTTGGGCTCCTGGAGAGCCTCTTCATTACACTCTCGACTGCGGCAGTAACTGAAGTTTCCTGTACCACTATCTTCTGGGTCTGCTCGATCACTCAACAGGCTTACACCTATACTGGGTTATCTTCACGTGTTGCTTGCAACCCACATGAAACTGGGGCTGTATCATCCACCATGGCCTTGCACAGCTATTGCACCCTCTCTGCCATTATGGAAGGGTGCTTTTGGAAGTTGGACGCAGTTTATGCCTCTCACTATCTCCATGACATCTCCGTCACTGATGTCCCGGGTTTTCTCCAGTTCAGTCCTCTTGTCCTGGCTCATCAGCTGTCAATGGCTCACTAACGCAGATAAACAGTCGTGCATACTCATTCCTGCTCTTGTCCTACGTTCGTATATATATCATTATGGCTAAAAAAAATAATAGTCTTGGTTATCAGGGACTGCCCGCATCATCATAAAGTTTGCTGCACGTTTCGTTTTTTTTCTTTCCATTTTAAAAAAAAATCCAAAAAAAATCCTTAAATAATCAGGAAGTCAAGTACTGTATTCCAGTATTTTACTCATCAAGGAATACATTTATGTAGGGAGGCCCTTTTCCAGGTTTATTTGAAGATTCTGGGGTAGAATAGGTCTTCAGCAACCCATGCTTGCCGTAAAAGGTGACTATGGGACCACGGGATCGGTAGGTCAGGCTCGCTGATTTGGTTGATGCATGTCATCGATCCCAATTGCGTGGATTGATGCTCATAATATCAATCATTGGATTGTCTGGTTCAGACTTGATTATTTACAGACCGCCGTCATATAGCTGGAATATTGCTGAGTGCGGTGTTAAACAACAAACCAACCAACATACCAACCAGGTTTATTTGGTTACATACTAGTTTGAACAACCCCCCAAAACCCCCAAAAAATTAAAAACCTCACCGCCTGCACACACTTTATTTTCCAAAGCCATTACCTGAAAACCAACTCTTTTTATTTTTTTAAGCCTATGGAATAAATCTTTAAACTTACCTTGTATTTATTGATTTTTGACTGTTCGGTTTCCCAGATAGAGTTCACGATTGGAGAGTGGATTCATGCACTTGATTGTAGAGACTTTGGATCAACATTGAGGTTGCCACAAGGCTCTTCTTGTCTTGGCATGCTTTAATCACTTGAGTGTGTTTAATAAACGAAAGAATTAAAAGAGATGCCGAGCAGATGCTGGCTGTCTTTGGGAGATAGTGTTGTGCTCTGTGTTGTAGAATCGATTGACCGGAGCCCCCTTCCCGAGCGATTATTAAATCGTACGCTATATCGCTTGTTTCTTTGCAGCTATGCGATTGTTTATTAATGTCATATGTGAAAACATGTTTCACATGTTGCACCCAATCTCATGCTGTTACAGTTGAGTAGCGTATCAGGATTGTATCACCAGTTGAAAGTTGATTTCCAGCTCACAAGTTCTTGTTGTTTACGACACTAGGCAGTGGTGTAAATATTTTATTTATTTCACTGTTTAGCACCAGCTCCCTCATGTATGTCACATGTCTCATGTATGAAGCCATGTGATCCGGTTTTGTAGGTCGCTATGCATGGGATAACGTGCATGACCCTTTTGTTTGGGAGGTGACCATGGTGATGCTGGGGTGTGTTTGGGTGGAGCATTTTTCAGAAGCTGGAAACTCTGTTCAAGCATGTTTCCACATAGGATTGAAGAAAAAAATGAAGAAATGCATAGTGTGAGCAAGGATAAATATATAAATATACAATTTATTGGAAAATTTCCTTACTTTCTTTGAATGATTTTTGTCAAATTCAGAATTTTTATTTGTTTTCAGGAATTTGCCAAAGAAATGCAGAGATATGTAGATGAAAAATGTGAGTTGTTTGAAAATTATTTTATTGTATTTGTGTTCGACTTTAACTGTAGAAATTATGATGTAAAGTATTCAATTACGTATTAAATCTGACATTACCTCAAACAGCAATTTCATGTTATATAGTGAAATGTGTGTTGATGGAAGACAGGTGTACGTATGAACTGGCTTAACACTTATATTCTAAGGTCACGTGATAAATGTTTCTGGTCTGTCTGCAGGTGAAGTCCGAGACATGCCTGTAGCCCTCCATGTTCCGTTGTTAACCCCGTCAATGTCCTCCGAGATTCTCCGTATCTCCATCGACATCCAGCGAGGGTCCTACCTCACATCAGTACCATGTCTGAGTAAGTCAACCTGTGAAGCATCGGTACATATTCCGTTCATAACCCAGTTCCCATTACACCGGCTGGTGGAAAGAGCTGGATAGTAATTAATATGGTTGTCACAACGCTCTAGGTTGATTGTGTGTTGTACCTTGATGGTCCAGATTGTTGATCCTGTTCTGGATTGGTTCTAATACCAGAGCCAACTTCTACATTCTTATCAAAGACTTCAACTGTAGTATTGCTGACATAAACAGCGTTAGAAACTAACAGTTTTCGTCCACTAGTCATTATAATGATAACATATAGCAAAACCCTTAAAAAGGGCAATTTTCTACTGGTCGTTGTGATACCTTTACCATTGGGCAGTTTGGTAAGGACTATAGGACTAGTGCCAATTTCTAACCCTGCATAAAACAACATTCAACAGTTTCTCTCACGGCAGCGTTAGAAATTGGCACTTGTCCTCTAGCCATGCCAAACTGCCCAATAGTCAAAGTATCAGAAGGAAGTATCATAGTAGAAATATGCCCTTTTTAAGGGTTTTGCTATTTGTTATCATTATAAGGACTAGTCGACTAAAAATGTTAGTTTCTACCGCTGTCACGGGAACTCGGTGTTAGAATTGGTCCCCAGCAACCTATGCTTGTTATTACAGGCAGCTTCATGGAAGGGGGTCTTTGTGACTTGGTTTGATTGTGTGTCGCCATACCGCCACACTGTGAGACTTAGCTCCTTACATTAATCAAAGGTTTGCCTTGTCTAGAATTATTTACACTAAATTACAGGATGATGTCATTTAGCTGGAATATTTCCAAGTGCTGAGTAAAGCATATGACCCACATAAAACAACATTCACTCACTCAGGAGTTTTGTGTCTGGTGATAAATATACCCCTTCCCTCCTTTTCCTTACTTGACAAAATTGAACTGGCCAAGTTTCCAAATCCTTCAACATTGCTTTGCCTTAGGACCACTAGCTGCTACTATAGTCACCAACACCTGAATCCTTTCTTGTCTTAGCCTGCCTGCATTGTTATCGTAAAGTATAAAATGCAAAACGTAATATGTGTCTTCTGTTTTCAGCTGAAAATTCTGTTGTAAAAGAAATAGAAGACTGCCTCAATGCTGACCGTCGAGGACTGGAAAAGTATTTCACTAAACTCAGGTAGTGTTTTCTGTTGTAAGTAGACTACAAGGGCTTTATCACAATAAACTAAGGTTGAGCAGGCATCTTCCTTACTCATTGGACTAATTGTAAGGCTTTGTTGAGATAATCTGTTTTCACTGATGACAGGACCAATACAGAATGCAATGTTAAAATATCACTGAATTTAAGAAAATAAGAACTTTTCCCCATTTTGAACAAAGTACCGATTTTTTCCCCAAGAGGCACTTAGTATAGAATCTTGGATACATCCCTGCATGTTGATTCAGACCAGCAGAGATAGTAAGTACAGGGCCCACTTGCACAAAGCGATCTTAGCGCTAAGATGATCATAACTCCCATACTTTAACATAGGCTTACAATAGTCTTAGCGCTAAGATCGCTTTGTGCAAGTGGGCCCTGAAGTGATAGATGAAACGTCTCTACAGGATGTTAGAATCAGTCAACATTTACAGACCATTATGCCATGTAATAATAAAACAATCCTTGCCAACATATAGACTGTACTACTTCCTGTACCCAGAATGCAGTTGTGCCTTCAGCGGTGTGAGAAGTCTGTTCAGCTTCTGCCGGCTCAGACGTTCAGTTGCCTGCCGATCGTCAACATGCACGGCCACCCAGTGGAGAGACTGGGCAGGTACAAGCTTTTCATCAAAGTACCCAAACAGTCCAACTTCTTTGTGGTGAGTCTTTGTTTTCAAATAGTTTATCAACCATGTCCACTGCTGGTTTTACCTTGTGCCAGAGACCCGTGAAGATCCCGGGGTAGAATAGGTCTTCAGCAACCCATACTTGCCATAAAAGGTGACTATGCTTGTCGTAAAAGGCGACTAACGGGATCGGGTGGTCAGGCTCGCTGACTTGGTTGATGCATGTCATCGATCCCAATTGCGTGGATCGATGCTCATGATGTCAATCACTGGATTGTCTGGATTGTTTTACAGACCGCCATCATATACCTGAAATACTGCTGAGTGCAGCGTTAAACAACAAACAAACAAACAAACCTTGTGCCAGCCTTATACACTACAGTATGACACTGGGTGGTGATATAGCTCACCATGACAAAGAATGTCACTGCTCTCTTGCTTGTCAAGTGATGTATATCATAAATACTGATGAGCTATGTAGGTGCTTGGTATGTCAAAGCTGCTTCAAAAATAATCACTCCTAGAATATAACCACTACTTGAAATATTTATGTTGAAAATGGAGTATTTTTGCTTAGTATCGATAGACCTGTGAAGATCTGGGTAGAATAGGTCTTCAGCAACCCTTTACAGACTGCCATCATAAAGCTGGTATATTGCAGCGTTAAACAATAAACAAACAAACAAACTTAGTAGTGATAGCCTATCAGATTATATGAATGGCCGACATAGTTGCAGTTAAGCGTTGACCCATGGCCTACAATATACAGCACTCTCAAATCTGATGATGAGAATGACACCCAGGAAAATATATTGCCTGTCAAATAAATATTGTGGTAGTCTTATCAGTTGACATGGAATTAATGCTATATTTCACCTTTGTTTTGTCCCCCGCTGGAATATAGCTAAAAACGGTGTAAAACCATACTCACTCACTCACTCACTCACTCACTCACTCACTCACTCACTCACTCACTCACTCACTCACTCACTCACTCACTCACTCACTCACTCACTCACTCAGTTAGGTATTGATGCTGAAAGATTGAGGGAGTTGTTTTCATGCTAAATAAGTTTTCTGCACTGTCGTGTAGGTTGTTGAACTTGTGGAGAAGAAGCCGAGGTCGGTGGAGTATAAGAATTATGTGCTGGAGACGACACCATGCACGGCAGACGGCACGGAGGATGATCTGGCAGAAGATGTTGGTGTCAAGCTGTATCTGAACGCTGGCAAGTTCATAGAGGTCGACAACTACTCCACAACACATGGACCTTTCACAAAAATATTCGGTGAGCCACAATAATATTATGTAATATCCCACATAGTGGGGTGATAAAACCATTTCCTTTAATACTTCAGAATATCAATCAGCTTGGACCTGGAAGTTTATGGTGTTCTTTGATATTCCATGTTCATCATAAGTTTGAAAACTATTTTGAATTATAGCATAATGACGAACAAGATTAATGAGGTTGACTGAAATTAGTTATTGTCTGGATAGTCGAAGGTCCGTAGCTTGATCCCCAGCCGCATCATACAAAAAGAAGTTAAAAGATGGAACTTGTTGTTATCATCACTGGTCGGCTCAGTCAATATACTGTGTCTTAGGGGCATGGTATCTCAGTGGACTAGCACTATAAAACTGGCATTATTCCCAACTAACAAACAGGCACACACACACGCATGCATGCAAGTGCAGTAATCTTGAACGTGACATTAAACCTCACCTCACCTCACCTCACCTCACCTCACCTCACCTCACCTCACCTCACCTCACCTCACCTCACCTCACCTCACCTCACCTCACCTCACCTCACCTCACCTCACCTCACCTCACCTCACCTCAGGGGCGGTCGGGTAGCCTAGTGGTTCAAGCATTCGCTCGTCATCCCGAAGACCCTGGTTCGAATCCCGACATGGGTACAATGTGTGAAGCCCATTTCTGGTGTCCCCCGCCATGATATTGCTGGAATATTGCTAAAAGCGGCGTAAAACCATACTCACTTCACCTCACCTCACCTCACCTCACTTCACCTCACCTCACCTCACCTCACCTCACCACTTTACAAGATATATGAAACTCCAGTATTCACACAGTAAACATTTTGTGGGTATGTTATATTTTGAGTAGTTAACAAGCATATTATTTAGTTACATTTAGTTGAGATTTTATACCTTGTAATACTTCCATGTTTTTATAACAGAGGACTACCCCACAACACAACTTGACAGTCTGACCAGGAAAAGAAAGGTAGTATCTTCCATCCGTCTTTGTCTCCATTTTCTGTCAATATGACAGCCAGATACAAATGTAACTTGTGAGTAGAGTACAAACAACAACGTTAGAAATTGGCATTAGTGCTTGCCAAACTACCAATAGTTAAGCTGACTTGGTTGATGCATGTCATCGATCCCAATTGCGTGGATCGATGCTCATGATATCAATCACTGAATTGTCTGGTCCAGACTCGATTATTTACAGACTGCCGTCATATAGCTGGAATATTGCTGAGTGCGGCGTTAAACAACCAACCAACAAACCAATAGTTAAGTTATCATAAATTTGCCTTTTTCAGGTATTTGTTATATGTTATCATAATAAGGACTAGTGGTCTAAAAATGTTAGATTTCTACCACTGCAAACAAACTGTTTGAATAGAATAATCTGTGTGATAATAGTTTCTAAATTTATGTATAGTAGGTGTTTTTACCAATAAATACCAATAAATAAAAAATAATCTGTAATGTAATGTAAATATTCTGCCCACTTTATCTGGGAATATCTTTGCTCTTCCTTTGCTAGCTGTTTTTGGGTGGAGCGGATCTCGATGAGCCCGACACAAAGAAAGTGAAGGGTTCGCCCTACTTTGTTCCTGAGTTGGCGTACCTGCTGGTGTCGTGTGAGGAGAGGATTCCGTTTGTCTGCCTGGGTGATGAGGTAGGATAACCTACAGAATGAAAGATCAGTTTGGAGGATAGGTGTCTGCCCAATAAATGATGAGGTAGAAGGAATGAAAAATATTTAGAGATTGATATAATTCTGTAAATGCTTTTTCCAGCTCAACAGACAGGACGTTCCCCATGAAGGGATCCAAGTGGATGAGGAAGGGATCTGTCTGGTCCTTGGTATTCTTGAGTGAGTGTTCATCAGCCTTTACCTGAAGTTTGTCATACATGTAGATTAGGCCACAACAGTTTAGTTATTATTCCCAGCCACAAAGGAATGGGTGCTGTACGTCCGTTCGTCCATCATGTTTCGTTTCCTAAGCAGATCTTGAAAACTGTACAATGTGTCGTCACCAAACTTGGCACATAGATAGGTCTAGTGGTGAACTGTGCCTTTTGATAGTTCTGGATTTTTGAAAAATGTATTTTTCGAGTTTCCATGGCAGCAACTTTGACTTAGACTGAAAATGGCGGTAGTGCTTGTTTCCGAGGCAGATCTTGAAAACTGTATAATGTGTCTTCAACAAATTTGGCCCATAGATAGGTGTAGTGGTAAAGTAGTGCCTTTTGAAAGTTTGGGATTTTTGAAAAATTTATTTTTCAAGTTTCCATAGCAATGACTTTGACTTAGACTGAAAATGGCAGTAGTGCTCGTTTCCAGATCATATATTAAAACCGTACAATATTTCTTGCCTTGCACACAACTGGACATGTCATATTTTTAGATTTGATTTCTTTTTAACATGTTTAAGGAGAGGCATCTGTGTCAGAATAATTTTTGATTGAATATGATACACATGAAGCCTTAATGTTGGTAGGATTTTCTACATAGTGTGTGTCATCAAAAAAAAAAAAAAAGGCATACAATGTAGCGAGGTTCTGTGACTGGCAATTATATGATGTGAGGCAGGTGGTAGTGAGGAGGGTGGGCAAGCAAATGTGATACATAATTTATCATGGCCTTATTGCTTGGGGCCTAGATGGCCGAGTGGCGTTGTGTGCCGTGTTTCCATATGCAGAGTTGTGTCCCTTTGTACCATGATCATTTGGTCATGGGTAGGAATTCCAGATTCTTTGATACTGATCCTTTGGCTGTCAGCACGATGCTAATCCTTGGGCCGTAAGCACGATGCTGATCCTTGGGCCGTAAGCACGATGCTGATCCTTGGGCTGTCAGCACGATGCTGATCCTTGGGCCGTCAGCACGATGCTGATCCTTGGGCCATCAGCACGATGCTGATGCTTGTGGGTGTCAGCACGATGCTGATGCTTTTGGGTGTCAGCACGATGCTGATGCTTGTGGGTGTCGCAGAGATGCCTAACAGTATGATTTTGGCGTAATAGTTATGATTTTGAACCAAAAATTATTTTGTTTTGTGCAATTCTGTTTGACTGATGTGGAATTAATATTGAATGTTATGCTATGATAACTGCAGGAAAGGCATGTAATCCAGAGCTACTTTCTGTAGGGGATTCCCCATGACCTTGCATCAGTGCACCAACCAAATGTCTAAAATTTTACCGGGAATTCCCATGTATGCATGATATAATACTGACTTAAAGATACGAAAACACTTGTTATGAAAAATCAGTAAATAAAACTGTTTCGTTGGTCGGTCTACATTACTATATACAATTTGTTTTGCTGTCCTGTATGATGCACAAATGAAAAACAGTCCTCACGTCAACATTGTGTTACAGTTTCCCTGAGTGTGGAGGATGCAGCAAGGAGGTCAGTGATGCCCTCAAGAAGCAGCTGCTGTCCTGCAAGTTCCGCATCCTCTCTAAGCCACTGCACTGGGTGGTGGAGGTACGTGTCACTATCTGACAGCTTCATATGGCATGTACCCCATGTGGATTTGTTGCTCACAATATCGATCACTGGATTATTTACAGGCTGCTGTCATGTAGCTGGAATTTTGCTGAGTGTGGCATTAAACAAAAAACAAACATCATCAGTCATCGAAGCTTTAAGGGCTCTTCCCTCGTCAGTATAGGCACTGGTACTGATATGTTGTTGTTAAGCTGATTGAGTGCGTAAGATCCGGGGTTCGATTCCCAGCCGCGTCATACCAAAAGAAGTTAAAAGAAGGTACTTGTTGTTACCCTGTCTGACGCACGGCATTAAGGGGCTAAAACAAGGACTGGTCGGCTCGGAGTCAGGATACTGTGTCAGAGTTGGGTATTCATGTTAAACTGAGGCATGGTATTTCAGTGGGCTAGCACTATAAATTGGCATTAGTCCGGATTAGTACAAGCAGCCACACACACACACACGACATCTAACCCCATTTCACCTCACCTGTTAAGCTGAATACAAACTCTGTTAATGTTCATGTTGCAATACCAGATATGACAAACACCACCTTCAATTGTAACTTGATATTTGTGAAAGTGCATTATTTAGATATGCTCTTTTGGCATTATTGCTTCTTTACAAACACTGTCCTGTCACTTTAGCCAATAGTCTGAAGCCTGAGTCTTGTAAAATTCTGTTCGGTTCAGTAACCTCAGCCAAAAACTGCCCTCATAATACACTAGATTCTTCTGAAAATGATGCTAAGAGCCAAGTCCGGGCTCATGGTCTAAAAGGTTTTTGATGCAGACTGCATACACACTTGCAACTCCTTTGTTCAAGCAGAAAGTACAGATGCAAGTGTTGACTTCTCACTGTTAAATGTGTTCAGAAGCCGTGACCCCAAATGAGTGAGTGAGAATGGTTTTACGCCGGTTTTTGCAATATTCCAGCCTATATCACTCTGGGGGACACCAGAAATGCACACATTGTACCAATGTTGGGAATCGAACCCAGGTTTTTGGCATGACAAGCAAACGCTTTAACCACTAGGCTACCCTACCTCCCCTGTTGCCCCAAGCTGGGTGTTACTCATCCTACATTATGTACATATTCAGTATGTGTTGTCAGTCCTGGGTATGATTATAATGTCCTTCAGTATTTGTGATCACGGTTATATGTGGAAGTGCCGAAGTTACATGAGCTCTCTGGAGGTTACAATTGGTAATCATGGTAATTAAAGGTAACTATTTGCCATTGCTGATGTTGTTATATCTTTGCTTTTTCCTTGTTTCTAGTTTCTGTTCACAAGCTCGCCACTTGAGTCATCAAGCTACAAGGAGTCAGGTCAGTGCTGTGTTTGGTTATGCTTAGCCTGAATGTGACCCTGGCATAGTTGGAATGCATGCCCTGTAGGGAAATGAGTCACAGCCAGGGTTAATAGTAACAATAATAATTTATTTATATCGTGCCTAACATCACGCTTTTACTTATACAGTGGCTTTGCATTTATTTATTGTCAGATTTAAAAAAAAGACATTAAGTTATAAAGAAAAAATAATGATTTAAGAGCTCAATCTAAAGTAGCTCCGTGACTATCTTGCTTGGAGATTGCGGTTTGTGCTTAGAAACCAGCAAGAAGCCATGAAGAAGTTTGTAAGCCCCAAATGGTGCTGTTGCAGTATGTGGCCTGTAAATGTATCAGGAAAAGAGGAAGGTGATTCAGCTTTAAGAAAAACGCTTTGTGATGGTGAAAAACATATTTGTGTAGACAAAATATATATGAGCCGTTACATGTGTGTGAGTGTCTGCAGGTAACCTACAGCGAGTGACTCTCAACCTTGACCTTAGCGGCGACAACGTCCAGAAGACCGTGACAGACCTCAAGGATGAGTGGAGCGCCATGGGGCATCTCTATAGTGCTGTGCAAGAGTTTGTGGAACTCTTTAATGGTGAGTCATGTTTGGTTTGGTCCAGGAATTATTGTGTAAATTCAGTAAGAACGTAATAGATTTGGAGAAATGAATTTCGGTTTAGGTTAAGCTGTTTTCAAGTCCAATGTCTTGTAAGGTTGGACCAGTGATTGGTGTGTGCATATTTCAGAGGTCCCTTTTGCCAATTGAGTGTGTGACACAGATGAGGATTTTCTGATTTGACTTGCCTTTATGGGTAGATGGCATTGGTCATATCTAACAAGTCTGAAGGTCTTTTTGTGCTAGTGGTAATGTAAAGTAGTTTGATATGAGAATAACACAACTAGTCCGCCCATATTGTTGTTAGTCTCGGACTAACAGACAATTGGACGTGTCTATTAGGGCTGAGACGGGTAACTCGGGTACTCGGGTACTCGGGACGGGTGGATCTTGAGTAGGACCCGGGTACCCACAGGACTACCCTTACCTGTGGTAAGTCACATGATATATTGTTTTATGGCCAAAACACACTAGAACTCCATGGTTACACTGCAAGTCACTAATGTTCGCATTTCTTTCTGATGATGCATACACTCCTTCTGACTTGTATATGTTTGAGTAAAGATAACGCTTCAGTCAACTTCAGTGTACGCATGATCTGATCCTTTGATACATGTGTCTTAACAGTTCTTTGCCAGGGTTGCTGTAAAACAATTCCCAATCAGACATTTTGTTCCCACATCTTGAGACCTACATAGGGTACCCGGGTAGGGTCGGGTAATAGGTGGCTGGGTACCCGGGTAGTAAATTTGGACTCGTCCCAGCCCTAGTGTCTATCCCTGGTCTTACTGAAGACTGACATGTCCTTGTGTTGTGTCAGATCCCCGGACGGGCCTACAGCTGCAGTGTGAAGTCCGATCCTACAACTACCGCAGACTGACTCTGGCGTATGGGCCCACCAGAAGCAGCATTGTGAGTTCCCGTTCTATTACACCAGACCTTCGAAGCTAGTACATTTGTGAAAAGTTGTTTCTTATTCAAATCAACACTTGTTTCATGTTTTTCAAATTTGAAATCTTTTGCTTCTCACAGAAACCAAGTTATGTGCTATGTCTGAAAGGGATTGAGAGGCTGTGTTTCCTATACTAAACACTCGTCAGTAGGTCACAGTTGTATACTCCCCAGGGAGATGAGAATGTGAACTGGAATGCATACTGATATGTTGACCATGGTATTAATGTCATGATTTGAGCTTATGAAATTTAGAGTCTAGCACCTATAGTGCCCTACAATTATTGTGATGAGAGTGATTTTGGTCTTATGCCGCTTTGAACAGTGTCATGTCATGTCATGTCATGTCATGTCAACTTGATGTGGGAGGAATGTTCGAAGTGATGCAGGTCTTTAACACTTAGATGACACCTACAAGCTTGGGTGCTAATAAACTAAGAAATATTATCATGGTGAATATGGGATTCAAACACAAGCTGAAACTCTGAACAGTAAATTGCAGTGCTGTAGATGACTGGGCCACCAGTGTCCCATTAGAACAGTGATTATTATTTACACAGATCTGTTTCTGTTTTCCCAAGAGGACGACATCTTTGTTGTCTCCAGGGTATAACACATTAAGTGTGTTTAGAAATAATAAAGTTAAATCGGAATATGGCCGATTTTATGCAGTTATATGTTTGATAACAAGACATGTACCTAGTGCTCACACAGCAGCACTCTCAACCAGGCTAACATCTAACTGTTATCCCCCTGCACCCTACCTCCCTTACGTCACATATGCCATCACATTGAACATCACTTACCAGTTATATGTTACCCTGGTGACATGGAATGCGGTCACTCGCTGGGCGCCGCCATCTTGAAAGGAATCTCGTTATATTTATGAACTAGCTTTTTACTTTTATCAATAAGTTCATTGTCCTCATTGCATAATGTGCCAAGGGTATGGCGGTGTATTTTATGGTCAAGTTTGCTCTCAGGTGACGGTCCAGTGGCGGTCAGACGGCAACTTCCATATCATGCTGGGGACAAGTGGTCAGGCCAGCACCGGTAACCCTCACATCGTCATGGCAACACAACTGCAGGCGGACCTCAACACCAGCAAGTCGCTGGCGGAGCTGGTCACCGTATGTTGGCTTACATCTTCATCTCACCCTGTAGGGATTCCAGAGTAAAATATACATCCCCATCAATGTTGCTCATTATGTAAATCACTGGATTGTCTGGACCACTATTTTTATTTACAGGGTGTGGAATTAAACAAGAAATAAAACAAAGAGACTTTGTTCATGTTAGCATGATAGCTTTGGCATTTGTATTTGTTTAAGGATCTGTACACCAACAATTTGACATGTGTGAAATGAATATTGTTGTGTATTTTGCTTACTGCTATGTCTGGAATTAATTTAATTGATGAAAACATTTTCCAAGTTGGGAACAGAAATAACCCTTTTTGCCCGTCACTTTTATTTTTTCTTTATTTCCCCCAACCTGTCCAATGATGTTACTTTTAGGGGCCCATGTGTTTTTGTTTTGACCACAACCCTATAGTTTTTTAAAACGATTCTCCACATCAAAAAAGAAGCCTGAAAGCTATTGGCTGCCTTGCCCTGTATACTCCCAGGAAGCCGATAAAACAATAACCCAGGCTCGCTGACTTGGTTGATGCATGTCATCGTATCTCAATTGCACGGATCGATGCTCATGATATCAATCACTGGATTGTCTGGTCCAGACTCAATGATTTACAGACTGGCATCATATAGCTGGAATATTGCTGAGTGCGGCGTTAAACAAACAAACAAAAGAACACAATATGAATCATACTGAGTGTGTTTAGTCCGGCAGTATAAAGGTGTACCACTAACACTGTTTAGCCGACAGTATAAAGGTGTACCACTAACACTGTTTAGTCCGGCAGTATAAAGATGTACCACTAACACTGTTTAGTCCGGCAGTATATAGGTGTACCACTAACACTGTTTAGTCCGGCAGTATAAAGGTGTACCACTAACACTGTTTAGTCCGGCAGTATAAAGGTGTACCACTAACACTGTTTAGTCCGGCAGTATAAAGGTGTACCACTAACACTGTCTAGTCCGGCAGTATAAAGGTGTACCACTAACACTGTTTAGCCGACAGTATAAAGGTGTACCACTAACACTGTTTAGTCCGGCAGTATAAAGGTGTACCACTAACACTGTTTAGTCCGACAGTATAAAGGTGTACCACTAACACTGTTTAGTCCGGCAGTATAAAGGTGTACCACTAACACTGTTTAGTCCGACAGTATAAAGGTGTACCACTAACACTGTTTAGGTGCATGGTCGTCTCGACTGTAATGTCAAGGCGATAGTGATGTGAGCAGGACTTGTACTCATTGTTTGTGCTGACTGTGTTCCAGGTCCTCAATGAGACGTGGTCCCCGATGACGTCCATCAGTAAGCTGTCCACAGCCACAGTGATGGGAGTGACAGTGGTCAGTCTACTACTTCATACTTGACCAGCGTCTGATACCTCACTGCAGTTAGGCATAAGTTGATAAAAACTTGCTCATAATTCTTAATAATTCTTACCACCTATTAAAGTAATGTGAAATAATTGTATGATGTTCACAATTTCAATTTTAAGTTTCTTTTCTCTGGTGTTGCCTCAGATTTGAGAGTGACCTGTTCAGTGCATTGTTGACACCTTATCACGTACCCAACCAGTGTCTCTTAAACCCAGATGAGGCTATGATAAATACCGTATTCGATGTAATAAGCGCCCCGCTCTAATAAGCGCCCATGGCGATATTTGATAATGCTCGTGAACAATCCAATTTGGCACCCGTTCCGATTGATCAATGTACACAATACTTATTTATTCGCGTATAGTACGCACTCGCGTGTTATATGCACCCTTAATTATGGGCAATTAAATTCTGGAAAAATATATCTGTCGTACATAAACATTTCAGGCTGTCAGCATAAACCACGGAAACTAATAATATTCTATTTCTAATTTTGAGAGCGCCCTGGGCGCTTATTGCGTCGAATACGGTAGGTCATTATACTTTCATCCCCATTTGCCTCAGCACCAATGAACCCAACCCGTGCTATTTTTATTGTTCTCGCGTAACTACGGACTGCGGATGTAATATGTGTTGCCTTCTTCCTTTACTTCCTTTTACTTAATCCTACCAAACATCCATCCTTCGTGTGAATCACTCCTGTCATCATGTCACATTTAAATAAGATGTATAAAATATAATGCCTCTCACCTGCATTTTGAACAATTTGACAATAGTTTAATAATAACCTTATCGAGCCGAATGTTCACTCCTGTGTTTCTTTAGTCAGTGACGTATATATAGAGTGAAATGTCTTGTACTGTAGTGTACTCTGTATATGTAGATAGAATTAAACAATGTCTGCTACGTCCACAGAACAACAAGCAGCCAGTCTCCACCTTCACCATCCTGCCACAGTCCTCAACACATGTCAGGATCGCCTTCCGCGGAGTGTATCCTTTCCTAGTCCTGGGCTCAGGGGACTTCAGTGTATTAAATCACCATTCTATTGCGATGAAAGCCCTAGACCAACTTCCAATCATAGCTTTGTTTTGAGTTCAGTTTGAATGACTTGACACTAAAACTGCCTGTCCAATCAATTTATTTTGTTCTTTGATGATTGAAACAAGTGGCGATCGCCTCACTACTTGACTATCCTTGTTACGTACTGTCTCCAATACAACTGGAGGCTGGGGCTGCATAGCTTCCAATCTTAGAAGATGTGAACACATCCTTTCCAGTAATAATTCCTTCATGACAGTCATCAGATTTGATTAACTATATTGGGGCACTTTTATAAGACTGCAATTTTCAATGTGGGTCGATGCCAGACTCTTGGTCAGTAGAGTTATTATTCCCTGCCACAAAGTGGAAGGGGGATATATAATTGGTGCTGTCCGTCGGTCCTTCTGTTTGTCCTTCTTGTTTCGATTCTGGAGCAGAACTAAAAAACCATGAGCGATATCTTTACCAAACTTGGCACATAGATAGGTCGAGTGATTATCTGGTGCCTTTTGATAGTTTGGGATTTTTGAAAAAAATATTTTGAAAACTGTACAATATTTCTTCTCCTAACTTGTCACATAGATAGTTATAGTAGTAAACTGGTGCTTTTGCATAGTCTAGGATTTTTGAAAAAATATTAGTTGTCGAATTGTACAACGTGAGTGAAAGAAAAGCTGTGTTCATTGAACTATATTGTGCCTTTAAGATGTCAGACAATTGTCATTCAGCTGGAATTTTCAGTGTCTGGTTAATAGAAATATTAGGATTCAGACTAAAGATTGTGCAATGCATCGGTGCCAGGGAAATGGATTGGGACAGATTCCATGTTGTTAGGTGCATGTGCTCCTTACATTTGGATGATCCTTAACGGAGACAGATACTGTCTGGATGTACACTTCAAGACTGGCAGCATCGTGGCTGTGAGGGACGGCGCCTACAGTCTGTTCGACACCAGCAAGGCCGTGGAAGGTTTCAACCCTGCTCAGGGACTCAAGGTATGGGAACTGCCATTGTTTAACTTTGACATGAGCCGCTTGTGCTTGAACTTCCGGTTTGTTGTGACCCAAATGTAACTTATTGCATTACTTATTATTTTGCTCCTATACTTTAACATGGAATTGACTGCCTCCATAGTTTAGTTGATAGAGTGTCTGCCCCAAAAGAGGTAGGTCGGTGATTCGATCCCCGGCCGTGTCATAACAAAAGTGATAAAAATTGTACTTGTTGTTACCCTGCCTGGCGCTCGGCATTAAGGGGCTAAAACAAGGACTGGTCGGCTCGGAGTCAGTATGCTGTGTCTGAGTGGGGTATTGATGTAAACTGTGGCATGGTATCTCAATGGCTTAGCCCTATAAAATTGTCATTAGTCCGGACTAGTACTAGCAGCCACACACACACGTGCATGCATGTTGCTACATAAGTGCAACAATCTTGACAGCGACATTAAACCCCATTTCACCTCACCACCTCATTAAGTATATCCTCTGTATGCTGAAATTTAATCAAGAAAAGTATCTGCAGACTGTACCAAGATCTTTTAAATCTACAGTCTAAGCATAATTCTCCTTAGATTTTAGTGTTATTGTGTGGACAGTTATTAGTTGAGCTTCACAATTTTACATGACTCTATGTCTGTCATATTTCTATGTTTCTCTTTCTCCTACAGGCGTTCCTGAATCTGTTCTATGACGAGAGTGTGATAGGAAGTCATGCTCGCCGCCGTTCCACCACAGATGACGACAACCCCCCATCTCCCATCGGCATGGATACCATGGACATCGGGATCTACCAGAACCCCAGCGTCGGCTCCCCCGCCGTCCGACAAAGACAGGAAGGGGCTGGGGGATTCCGCTTCCAGAACCCCATGACCCCACCATCCAACCCCCACACCCCTGCATCGCCAGGGGTGGCAAGAATTCCAGCAGGGGTAAGGCTATTGTAGTACTGTCATTCCTGCTGTTGGGGTCACAGACAACAGGTCACATCCACTCCCCCCTGTATTAAAAACCCAAATTGAGGATTGGGTGTCAGCATTTATTGACCTGGCCCTGTTCCACAAAGCAATTTTAGCGCTAAGATGATCGTAACTCCCATACTTTAACAAAAAATGTTCGATGATCGTGGCGCTGATCGCTTTGTGGAATGCGGCCCTGCCTGACTGTGTTTCATCATACTCTGATACTGTGGATTGTTGCTCATGCTATCAATCCCTGGTTTGCCCAGTCCTGACTTTTACAGGCCATTGCGATATAGCTGGAATGTTGCCAACAGTGGTGTAACATGGATGGGTCAGTGATATACAGCAGTTTGGTGTCCAGGTCCCATCAACTTGTACATGCTTATGGGTTCCACAAGAGAGGTGACCTCCTCCGTGGCCTAGTGGTAGAGCGTCCGCCCGGAGAGCGGAAGGTTCGGGGTTCGATCCCCGGCCGCGTCATACCAAAAGACGTTAAAAGATGGTACTTGTTTTTACCCTGTCTGGCGCTCGGCATTAAGGGGCTAAAACAAGGACTGGTCGGCTTGGAGTCAGTATACTGTGTCTGAGTGGGGTATTCATGTTAAACTGTGGCATGGTATCTCAGTGGGCTAGCACTATAAATCGGCATCAGTCCGGACTAGTACAAGCAGCCACACAAACACACACGTGCATGCACGTCGCTATATAAGTGCAATAATCTTGGACGCGATGTTAAACCCAATTTCACCTCACCTCGCAAGAGAGGTAAAGGTTCATGGCCTGGTTTACTCATGATAACATGATTAATTGAGATCAGGAATATAACTGAAATACGGTTCAAAGAGGCATTAATCTGAACTCACTCATTCAATATTGTTGGCATAAGTTATTATTTACACTTTAGCAGAGCTACAGATAAGCAGGGTATTTGCCTAAAATACCCCCCCCCATTTTTTTTTCAAAACCCAATTACATTCAATTAACTTGCGTGCAGAAACGCAGAAACGCATGCATTAAATGAAAAACTCAAATGTATAAAAACAGCACACGTTAATACCCATTGAAGCTTTTTCAGAACTCCCACAAAGGAGCTAATTTCCGAAACACAATTACGAGCTAATTTACTTTCCGAGTCAAGCCTATATATTTAGAACAGTTATCATGGTTATGTACATCTAAATAATTATTTAATTTTTTAAAATCTTAAAAAGTTCACTCTTTTGGAGAAATACCCAATAGAGTGATGAATAGATGAGTGAAAAAATATTGGTTACCCAATGAAAAATGTAATAACCCAACTTAAATAGAAACCCTAGAGTAAAAACTCAATTGCTCAAAAAGTTATCTGGAGCTCTACATTAGGTTCCCCAACTGGGGACATACATCTTATATTACCAAAGCCGCTTGGTGATTACAGGTTAGAATAGGTAATCAGCAACCTCTGCTTTGGAGGGGACATGATGGAGCAGGTGGTCAGACTTTGTGACTTGATTGCGTGCTATCGTCCCCCATTTGTGCGGGACATTGCTCATGTTATCAGTCACTGGTTTGTCTGGTCCAGACTTAAGTTTTACAGACCGCTGCCATACAGCTAGAATATTGGTGTACACAGAATATGTTTCCCAAGTGGGACAGAGATCCTGGATCCTACAGAGTTCTGTAAATGCTTGAGGGAGCACCATATGCTTGCATTTGGTTGACTGATGTAACAAGTGGTATTTGCGGTGGTCATATGAAGCACCTAAAATGGATTGGGTAGTCAAGCTCAGTGACTTGGTTAACCTTTAGCCTGCTGAATTATTTTCGCACTTCTTACCCCTGCCTGCTGGATTAATTTTAGCATAAGGCGCTCTAAAGAGGGTGGGTGATTTCAAACAGTCAGTGCCTCATTGAACAAGGGCATGTTATTGTCTGACAGCATCCAATGTTACTTATGATATCAACCACTGTATTTTACTGTCCAGATTGGGGCGGTCGGGTAGCCTTGTGGTTAAAGCCTTAGCTCGTCACGCCAAAGACCCGGGTTCGATTCCCGACATGGGTACAATGTGTGAAGCCCATTTCTAGTGTCCCCCGCCGTGATATTGCTGGAATATTGCTAAAAGCGGCGTAAAACCTCACTCACTCACTAACTCTTGTCCAGATTAGATTAACAATGATCAAAATAGAACATGAGTCTTATGATAGGCTTTTAGAAACACTTTTGACTTTTGGTTCTGCAAAGGTCAAGGCAAATCCGTGCTTCAGGATATTGACCCATTTTGCCCAAAGTGAACCTGTGTTGTATCCATTTGTCACAAATCCTCTTTCCATTGCAGGTCAATCCATCTCCATCCACCCTGATGGGAAACCCGTCGCCAGGTACCTTGTTGACCGGGGGCTCTCCAGGCAACCCCCACCTTCATGTCCCCTCCCCCTCCTCCTTCGTCCCCGCCCCCTCCCCACAATCCCTCGGCATTCACATGCAGTCTCCAGCAGGCTCCTTCATCAGCCCAAGTAAGCAGGTCTTTGTCTGACTTCTCTGCTGGTTGCTGCTTCGGTCATTGTGATGTACGCCACCAGCTTCATCTGCTGCCACCGCCACCACCACCGCCGCTACACTTGCTTAACTCCCAGGGCCAGACCAGTGGGTGGGGGGCCAGCTACCTATCAGTTACCAACATGTGTGTGTGTTAGTTCTGAAATATTTGTTTACTCAACCACTTACTTTGATAAGTGTGAAGCTAGGAGTAGGTCCATCCATTTTAGTGTGTAAGAAAGTTGGAATTGATATCTGTTATGCTGTGATGAATGGGAATCAAAACTGTTGAAACACATCGAGCAGGTCCAGTTATCTCCATCATCTAAATGACATGTGCCATTATTGATTGAAATTATTTTTCTTTAATCTCTGCTATTACCATAATGAAGTTCATATATGTTACTCATTTATATTTTGAGTTAGAAATGTTTTCAACAATCTGTCATCTGCCAACAAACACAGACCAAGCTTATCAATCAACAGTATCTAAACACTATTTACCGTGGATTTAGGATTCAGTTGATGAATGAATGATGTTTATTCTCGTAAATCACGGCAGTGATACAGAGATGTAATTGGATACAGGAATTAGATACAATAGGAGAAAACATGTCAGTGGAACATTTCCATACATGATCTTATATAACTCGCCAGTTTTAATAGAGTTGGCTTATAAGTAATGGACATCAATTGAGAGAATTTTATGGCAGAAGGATACATACAGTAGTATTGAGGCTAAAACTTGTTTCTAATTTCTGAGAGTTTTGGACACTCTAATAAAAAGTGCATTTCATCAGATATCAAATTTTTATACAATGGACATTTTCTTGATGCATATGTGAATGGTACACAAATCTTTTGAAAAAATGGAAAATATCAGTCAAGTTTACTCATTTTCAGAAATAAGTGTTCCCTTTTTATTGAAAGCGATGAAAAGTTTGATGTTAGTATGCAGTAATGAGGTGTTGGAGCTGACTGTCACCAGCCAGTAGAGATTGTCAGGGGAGAAGGAAACTTGGGAGATGCTGTAGGAAATTACTGAAAGAGGGGAAAATCTTTGATTATGTATTTGACCAACCTATAGTGGACATGGAGACAAACTACCTATGTTGAAGAGCTCTTCATCATACTAGTATGTCATTATACAAGTATTGTAACATGAGATCGCTAAACAAGGTTTTGAAATTCCTTGTATTAAAGTACCAATGGCAAGGTTAAGTTCTCAAAGGCACTGTTAGACCAAGATCCTAGTGCCTGAAGGACACACTTGGAACATTGTAGAAATCCCATTTTGTGAGAACAATACCTAGGATGAATGTACTCTCGCACAAGGAAACTACACACTTGAAAATGATGAACATGTAATAAAATTTCCAACAATAATTTTTGGTTAAATAATATTCGGATTGTTCCAGTTGGCACACTAAAATCTTCAAGGTCACACCCAAACATCCATAGGAGTGCCCTTTGGCACACTTATACCAAAGATGTTTCTGTCTCAGCTATTGTTCCTTGAATGATTGCTTCCAATGCTTCAATCTTTTTTGCGATAAAATCAGGATTGGTAAGAACCGATTTGCATTATCTGTAGATTGTTTAGGAGGTGCCAATTCTGCTTTGTAGCTTTGATGGTATTGGTGATATTCACAAGGAGATAATCTAGGGTCTATTTCCTGTGATTACAAAGTGCAATATGTGGTAACTATATTAACTGGGAACATGGACAATTGTTAATAGTGGATTCAGATCATTAACAACCACTACTTGACATGTTTCATTTCCAGGGAGTTAAGCAAGTGATAATTTGAGTTGTAAGTGTTGTCTTGGCTCAAATTTTGTTTCACCTAATTTTTGTTAAGTGGAATGAACTTAGCAGCCTGTACATGGAGCTGTGAGGTTTGATGGAAGCGTGGGGGAATTGTGCTGACTTGTGCTGTAGACTTGTGCAAGTCCAGGGATTGTGAGTGCACCCATCTGCATGCTCTGTAGCGTTAGTTCGGATCAGTTGTCTTTTGCTAAATCTCATTAAAATCGGAAATTGGTGCTCGCTACTGCTCCACAAGGTTCTGAGGACATCCCATTACAGGTCATGTCAGAACAACTTTTCACGAAATCTTTAACTGACCAATGAAGTAACTAACAGTACCTGGTAAATCAACTTTAGCCAGTCAGAAAGCTGCTTTCTCAAGATTTGCAGCACTAGTTTCTAACTGCTGACTCCCATTCCAGACTACCCTTTGGAAACTATTACCGTATTCGACGTAATAAGCGCCCAGGGCGCTCTCAAAATTAGAAATAGGGGGCTCTTATTAGAACATAGTTTTGGTGGGAAAAAGAAGAGTTGAAAGATCGTAAATTACGTGGTTTATGCTGACAGCCTGAAATGATACAGAAGAAAAGTTGTATTATACACGACAGATATATTTTCCAGAATTTAATTGCCCATAATTAAGGGTGCATATAACACACAAGTGTGTATTTTACACGTATAAATAAGTCTTGTGAACATTGATCTATTGGAAGGGATGTTAATTGGGATTGTTCACTAGCCAATATATTAGCAAATATTGCCATGGGCGCTTATTAGGACGGGGCGCTTATTACGTCGAATACGGTATGACAAAATTTGAAAACCGATCAAAATTAAATTCTGGAATGTCATATAGATGGCCGGGATTGTATGGCAGTACTTCAGACTTTCACTCTCGCGATCTGGTAAGCAACACTCTGATTGTAGGGATGAAAGACGTTCTGATGTGACCTGTAATGGGATGTCCCTCAGACCTATGGTAAGGAGTAGTGAGGACTAAGATGTGATTTTATTTAGATTGTTTCAGACAGTAAATTTGTTTTGGCATCCAAGTGGGAATTTCAGGGCGGAATAGGCCCCCTGTACCACATACTTGACTTAGTATTTCATTAGGGTGGAGATTGGGTGGGTATACTGGTACTGTGTCATCATATCCTGACAAGAGCGGATTGTTGCTCATACTATACACTGACTTGCCTCGACCAGACTTGAATAGTTACAAACTACCATAATAAAGCTGAATATTGCTGTGGTGTAAAGCAACATTCACTCAGTTTCTGAGGCATTTAACTTTCTTTGGTTTATGAGTACAAAATTGACAACTTTGGAATATTTGTTTTTTCAGTACTGAAAAAAGAATCAAGGTAGATCAATAAGCTTGGTAAACAAAAGGATCTGATAATTTGACTTGTTCAAATGTATACAAACTGTTCGTTATTATTTGACCCCACTGACATACGTTAGAAAACATTATTTTGTAGATCTGTTTTTGTGCATTTTATTTTGATCACTTGTGGTTTTAGAGAAAGAAGTAATGAAAAACACCTTAATAGTAACACTAAGCACCTCCTATCAACCGATCACCTTAGTTTACAAAGTGAGTGAGTAATTTTTGCTTAACGTCACATCAGCAATCTTGCAGCTATTCGCGGCGATAGTTTACAAAGCCGCCAAGTAATATAAATATGTAAAAAAAACACCACCATCCATCAGAAATAATATAGAGATAATTTTTAGTGTTGTATATTAAATGCACTTCCTAGTTTAATTCTAGATGCATGAATGCAAGAAGAAATTAATAAAAGAATCTTCAGATTTGAGAAACGGCTAATCTGTATTGGTTGAAAGGTTTTACCAGAAAATCATTTGTGTCATTGTATTGTGGCTAGTTATCTTCGATCACTAGCCCATCCCACATTTTTTCAATTGACCACCTGACGGTTTAAAGCACACACCCTAATTTCTAGCTTTGTGATTAGTAATCCATGATCCCAGCTCAGCAGGATATGTTTGACAAGGGAGATAACCCACCCCCAAGCCTTTGATAAATCATTTCGTATTGGAATGTAAAGGGTATTCACATATTTCAGTGATGTCAAACTTTTGTCAAACGATGCAACTGTTGATTATTGTTGAATGCTGATATTAGTGAATGCAGTTTGAGATGGAACTGCTCCATCCTGTCGCTGCTTGTGACGCCAGCATGGCTTGACATGTGGAGTAGGACCATGCCGGACCATGTGTTGTATCGTCTCACTGTCACACTGTTTGTTCATTCTTTCATGAGAACATGTTTCATGGCTTTGTGTTGACCCATGTTTATTTTTGCTGGGTGTTTTTCACCCCTTTGAAATTGTCAACAGGTTTCCAGTACCTCATTCTTGTGATAATTGGCAATTGTCAATCTACTGACTCGTTTGCAAGTTTCTATGATACAGCTTTCATATTACTGGTTGTGGTGTGAAAGGGGGCGGTCGGGTAGCCTAGTGGTTAAAGCGTTCGCTCGTCACGCCGAAGACCCCAACATGGGTACAACATGTGAAGCCCATTTCTGGTGTCCCCCGCCGTGATATTGCTGGAATATTGCTAAAAGCTGCGTAAAACCATACTCACTCACTCACTCACGGTGGTGTGAAAGTCTTTTACTCATCCATGTTTGAAAGAGAAGCCATTATTTACTTGCTAAGAAGACTACCTTTCATAATATCACTATAAAAAAGTGTAAATATTTATTATGATCAAGATACCCTTTTTACAATGTTGATGTCTGAATATGCTTGAATGATATAGAGGGAGTGAATGAGTGAGTATGGTTTTAAGCTGCTTTTTGCAAATTCCAGCAATATCACGGAGCGGGACACCTGAAATGGACTTCACACATTGTACCCATGTTAGGAATCAAACCTGGGTCTTCAGCGCGACGAGTGAACGCTTTAACCACTAGGCTACCCCACCTCCCCGAATGATATAGAACTAGGTGCATTGTTGCTGAAGAAAGAGCTTGGTATTAGGTAGCATTACATGTGTCCAATGTTTTGTGAGATGACTCGCTCTGTGTAACATGTTGGTGTTTCTGTGTGTCAGGTATGGTAGAGGGCGGCTCCCCTTATCCCAGCTCCAGCCTGGCAATGCCGTCCCCCAACCCAAGGAACTGGCCGGGGTCCCCGTCAGTCCAGGGCCCCAGTCCAGCATCACACCACATGGTGGCATCCCCAGGGCATCCTGCTCTTCACTCCCCTCAGACACAACACAAGGACTCGGACCACAGCAAGACATCAGGTTAGTGCTGTAACTGTCTTACCCCAGGGCATTCCGCTCTTCACTCCCCTCAGACACAACACAAGGACTCCGACCACAGCAAGACATCAGGTTAGTGCTGTAACTGCCTTACCCCAGGGCATCCCACTCTCCACTCCCCTCAGACGCAACACAAGGACTCCGACCACAGCAAGACATCAGGTTAGTGCTGTAACTGTCTTACCCCAGGGCATCCCACTCTCCGCTCCCCTCAGACACAACACAAGGACTCTGACCACAGCAAGACATCAGGTTAGTGCTGTAACTGTCTTACCCCAGGGCATCCCACTCTCCACTCCCCTCAGACACAACACAAGGACTCCGACCACAGCAAGACATCAGGTTAGTGCTGTAACTGCCTTACCCCAGGGCATCCCACTCTCCACTCCCCTCAGACACAACACAAGGACTCCGACCACAGCAAGACATCAGGTTAGTGCTGTAACTGCCTTACCCCAGGGCATCCCACTCTCCACTCCCCTCAGACACAACACAAGGACTCCGACCACAGCAAGACATCAGGTTAGTGCTGTAACTGTCTTACCCCAGGGCATCCCACTCTCCACTCCCCTCAGACACAACACAAGGACTCTGACCACAGCAAGACATCAGGTTAGTGCTGTAACTGTCTTACCCCAGGGCATCCCACTCTCTACTCCCCTCAGACACAACACAAGGACTCTGACCACAGCAAGACATCAGGTTAGTGCTATAACTGTCTTACCCCAGGGCATCCTGCTCTTCACTCCCCTCAGACACAACACAAGGACTCGGACCACAGCAAGACATCAGGTTAGTGCTGTAACTGCCTTACCCCAGGGCATCCCACTCTCCACTCCCCTCAGACACAACACAAGGACTCCGACCACAGCAAGACATCAGGTTAGTGCTGTAACTGTCTTACCCCAGGGCATCCTTCCACTCCCCTCAGACGCAACACAAGGACTCCGACCACAGCAAGACATCAGGTTAGTGCTATAACTGTCTTACCCCAGGGCATCCCACTCTCCACTCCCCTCAGACGCAACACAAGGACTCTGACCACAGCAAGACATCAGGTTAGTGCTGTAACTGTCTTACCCCAGGGCATCCCACTCTCCACTCCCCTCAGACACAACACAAGGACTCCGACCACAGCAAGACATCAGGTTAGTGCTGTAACTGTCTTACCCCAGGGCATCCCACTCTTCACTCCCCTCAGACACAACACAAGGACTCCAACCACAGCAAGACATCAGGTTAGTGCTATAACTGTCTTACCCCAGGGCATCCCACTCTCCACTCCCCTCAGACACAACACAAGGACTCTGACCACAGCAAGACATCAGGTTAGTGCTGTAACTGTCTTACCCCAGGGCATCCCACTCTCCACTCCCCTCAGACACAACACAAGGACTCTGACCACAGCAAGACATCAGGTTAGTGCTGTAACTGCCTTACCCCAGGGCATCCCACTCTCCACTCCCCTCAGACACAACACAAGGACTCGGACCACAGCAAGACATCAGGTTAGTGCTGTAACTGTCTTACCCCAGGGCATCCCACTCTCCACTCCCCTCAGACACAACACAAGGACTCCGACCACAGCAAGACATCAGGTTAGTGCTATAACTGTCTTACCCCAGGGCATCCTGCTCTTCACTCCCCTCAGACACAACACAAGGACTCCGACCACAGCAAGACATCAGGTTAGTGCTGTAACTGCCCTACCCCAGGGCATCCCACTCTCCACTCCCCTCAGACACAACACAAGGACTCTGACCACAGCAAGACATCAGGTTAGTGCTGTAACTGTCTTACCCCAGGGCATCCTTCCACTCCCCTCAGACGCAACACAAGGACTCCGACCACAGCAAGACATCAGGTTAGTGCTATAACTGTCTTACCCCAGGGCTTCCCACTCTCCGCTCCCCTCAGACACAACACAAGGACTCCGACCACAGCAAGACATCAGGTTAGTGCTATAACTGTCTTACCCCAGGGCATCCTGCTCTTCACTCCCCTCAGACACAACACAAGGACTCGGACCACAGCAAGACATCAGGTTAGTGCTGTAACTGCCTTACCCCAGGGCATCCCACTCTCCCCTCCCCTCAGACGCAACACAAGGACTCGGACCACAGCAAGACATCAGGTTAGTGCTGTAACTGTCTTACCCCAGGGCATCCCACTCTCCACTCCCCTCAGACACAACACAAGGACTCTGACCACAGCAAGACATCAGGTTAGTGCTGTAACTGCCTTACCCCAGGGCATCCCACTCTCCACTCCCCTCAGACGCAACACAAGGACTCCGACCACAGCAAGACATCAGGTTAGTGCTGTAACTGTCTTACCCCAGGGCATCCCACTCTCCACTCCCCTCAGACACAACACAAGGACTCTGACCACAGCAAGACATCAGGTTAGTGCTGTAACTGCCTTACCCCAGGGCATCCCACTCTTCACTCCCCTCAGACACAACACAAGCTCTCCGACCACAGCAAGACATCAGGTTAGTGCTGTAACTGTCTTACCCCAGGGCATCCCACTCTTCACTCCCCTCAGACACAACACAAGGACTCGGACCACAGCAAGACATCAGGTTAGTGCTGTAACTGTCTTACCCCAGGGCATCCCGCTCTCCACTCCCCTCAGACACAACACAAGGACTCTGACCACAGCAAGACATCAGGTTAGTGCTGTAACTGTCTTACCCCAGGGCATCCCACTCTCCACTCCCCTCAGACACAACACAAGGACTCCGACCACAGCAAGACATCAGGTTAGTGCTGTAACTGTCTTACCCCAGGGCATCCCACTCTCCACTCCCCTCAGACACAACACAAGGACTCTGACCACAGCAAGACATCAGGTTAGTGCTGTAACTGCCTTACCCCAGGGCATCCCACTCTCCACTCCCCTCAGACACAACACAAGGACTCCGACCACAGCAAGACATCAGGTTAGTGCTGTAACTGTCTTACCCCAGGGCATCCCACTCTCCACTCCCCTCAGACACAACACAAGGACTCGGACCACAGCAAGACATCAGGTTAGTGCTGTAACTGTCTTACCCCAGGGCATCCCACTCTCCACTCCCCTCAGACACAACACAAGGACTCCGACCACAGCAAGACATCAGGTTAGTGCTATAACTGTCTTACCCCAGGGCATCCTGCTCTTCACTCCCCTCAGACACAACACAAGGACTCCGACCACAGCAAGACATCAGGTTAGTGCTGTAACTGCCCTACCCCAGGGCATCCCACTCTCCACTCCCCTCAGACACAACACAAGGACTCTGACCACAGCAAGACATCAGGTTAGTGCTGTAACTGTCTTACCCCAGGGCATCCTTCCACTCCCCTCAGACGCAACACAAGGACTCCGACCACAGCAAGACATCAGGTTAGTGCTATAACTGTCTTACCCCAGGGCTTCCCACTCTCCACTCCCCTCAGACACAACACAAGGACTCCGACCACAGCAAGACATCAGGTTAGTGCTATAACTGTCTTACCCCAGGGCATCCTGCTCTTCACTCCCCTCAGACACAACACAAGGACTCGGACCACAGCAAGACATCAGGTTAGTGCTGTAACTGCCTTACCCCAGCATCCAGGTCAGGCCTCCAGCTCATTACGACTAGGTGGTTACAATGCAGCTGATCAACTGCTGGTTTGTCTGACTCAGACTTGATTTACTATTGGCTCCAATATTAAAAACAATATTTTGGGGATAATTATATTTATTGAGGTAGACTACCTCATGTGTACTATACACATAATACATACATATATATAGCTGTCAAATTGCTGACTGTGGCATCAAACAACATTCACTTGGTGCTATGGCTATGGAACGATTCACATGCATTTTGTCACTGAGTGATGCATGCATTTGTAACATTGTCCTTTGTACTAAGCTGTGACCTAAGTAACCTTTCTGTCTATCTCAAAGATTGATGACATTTTAGTCATTGAGAATGGTTTTTAAACTTATCCTATCTCACACTATGCATTTCTTGCTTCCTCCTTCGATCCTTATGTGGAAACATGTTCGAACAAAGTTTCCAGCTCCGGAACAAAGTTTTGGCTGTGTGGGCAGGTGATGATATCGTGTAAAGTCACAACGCATTACAGGATTACATTACGGGATTACAGTGTTGGGGTGGTGAACATGGTGATGATCGGATGTGTTTGGGTGGAATGTTTTTCAAAGCTGGAAACTTTGGGTAAGCACGTTTCCACTAAAGGATCGAAGGAGGAAGAAATGCATAGTGGAGATAGGACAAGTATGTAAATATACAATTTAATTTAAAGTTACAATTTCAAAGAGGAGCCAGTTCCTGTTTTGTAAAAAGTTCACATCCTCACAAATAATTGCAAATTTGATCCTGCATCAACAGTTGTAAGTCCACCGTCCCGGATGCTACCCCAGAGGTCGTGGGCGGCGTCGGTGCCGACCCTGCTGTCCCACGAGGCGTTCAGCAACCTGCTGACCCCCAACACCATGCCCACCTCCTCCATGAACATCCCGGGCATGCAGCCCCTGCCAGCATCCCCCATCGAGAGGTTCTTCGGCTGTGTGTACATGCGCCGACACCTGTCACGCCAGATACAGAGTGACGACAGTGTATGTATGACTAGTCTGGTCATAATCTGGTAATGAACTGTTCAAGTATTGAGATAGTATAGTTGATGAACTTTGACTGTCATAAAGAGGATGATCGTCCATACATGTCATCAGTTATATATCAACTTCTAAATGCCACTCGACCTGTGAAGATGAGGGTTAGAATTTGTCTTCAGCAACTCATGCTTGTCGTAAGAGGTGACTAACAGGATCTGGTGGCCAGGCTCGCTGACTTGGCTGATGCATGTCATCGTATCCCAATTATTTGGATCAATGCTCATGATGTCGATCACTGGATTGTCTCATCCAGACTGGATTATTTACAGACCGCTGTCATATAGCTGGAATACTGCTGACTGCGGCGTTAAACAACATACAAACAAACAAACATTATTACATAACATAATGCCACTCAAAGATCTTGTAAAAAGTATTATTTTACCCAAACTAGTCATACAAGCAATAATCTTGTATTGCCACAATTGTATTCTTGATTACAGTTGACAGCCCTGCCGTTCAACGAGCCGGGAGTGAATGTGTTTAAGGGAGAGAGCCTGCAGTACAAAGTGAGCATGAACCAGGCCAACCTGCAGACACTACAGATGAAAGCCTTCCCAACACAAGGTGAGTCCGTGTCCTGGCCGTGTCGGAGGTGGCCCAGGTGTACAAGGTGCAGGAGCTGTGCACAGTTGCATCCCTTAGGCATACCAGAAGCCTCTGAACATGGGTTTGAATCCTGGTTTGCCCTGATAATGTTTGTCAGCATTTCCTGCATGACTTTGGACTTTCCTGCCACATCAAGATCACGTGTCATGATATAACTAAAATACTGTTCAAGGGAACCAAACTACTTCGCTGAAGCGCTCACTTGATGACTCACTCACTCACTCACTCACTTCACCATGGATGAAGTCAGAGAGGTCTTGTTATGGTTGCTACTGGTTGATAACTTTGACAGGGCACGGGTGGCCCAGTTGTCTACAGCGCTGTGAAGAGTTGCGTCCCATGGACACGCCAGAAACCTATGATTGTGGGTTTGAATCCCGGTTCGCCGCGATTATGTTTCTAGGTTTGTCAGCACCATGCCCGTGCTTGTGGGTTTCACCGAAGTGGTAAACCTCTGAGACCTGTATCACTTCTGGCTTTCCTCCCACATTAAGCTGACACGCAATGTTATAACTGGAATACTGTTAAAAGCGGCATTAAACCTAACTCACTCACTCACAGATAACTTTGACACATTTTTTATGTAATTTGGACACAGTTGTAGACAGAATGTCAATCATTTTATTTCTAATACATATAGGCCACAGGCCTTTGTGTACAAAAGTTGAGTACAGACAGGTTTTAAACATTCAGTTTCACATTTTTTACTTCATTTGCATTATATAGATATTTTGCTAGATTTGTAATAATATAAATATGTATCTAGTGATGATAGAAGCATATTAAATTTATGAATGTTAGGATGACAATAGAACTTTGCTTTGAGATATAGTTTCCGTAAAGTGACATACGATGGACAAACAAGCAGGAAGTGGTACTCAATTTCCAAAGTATGACAACTCAGTCTGAATCTCGTGAAGGTTGTTTTCATATTTACTGAAATTAAGGATGACAGATAAGGTTCAAATTTAACCCAAGTTTTAAAACAAGCATAATAGGACATTTTTTAACTTACAAGAAGTTTGCTATGCCAGATCTGCTAAAAATTGTCTTTTAAACATTGTTGAAATATATTTAGAAAATCCTTTCGGTTTCCATACATTTGAAACATCCATACTTCTCCGAACCAAAGTTTACAAAGACAATTCCTTAATTTAGTTGACTCGACCATGTTCATCATACAGGCACAACATATTGTAGCACTTTCTTGGTAAACGGAAGTCTGGCATCTGTATGTTCAGCTAATATGTAGACAGACTGTACAAGACAATTGTTTCACTTACAGACTGCAAAGACCCTTGGGCACCAGAAGAGCTGCAGATTCTTGAGAAGTTCTTTGAACTAAAGGTAGGCTATGATGTGTGTATACCCTTGTCAGTGACTCCGTAATCCACCTGCTGTACCGACTCTGTTCAGTGCGGGGCGGTCGGGTAGCCTAGTGGTTAAAGCGTTCACTCGTTCGATTCCCGACTTGGGTACAATGTGTGAAGCCCATTTCTGGTGTCCTCTGCCTTGATATTGCTGGAATATTGCTAAAAGCTGCGTAAAACCATACTCATCCATCATCCATCCATCCTGTTCAGTGCATGCAGGAGTAACAAATACGCTTACAAATGACTGTCAATGGAAACACAGCAAACAGAAGTAGTCCAGCATGCGTTGTATGTTCCTCACTGCTTCACTGTCTTCCCACAGGTGGCAGGTCCACCCTACAAGATCAACGCCCTGACGGCGTTCAGCCGCCTCCTGGGAGCTCCGACCCTCATCCTGAAGGACTGCATCCAGATCATGAGGATGGAACTGGTGAGTGGTACACAAAGGCTGCCACGATTAAGCTGTTTAGTCCCAACTCTATAACCTTGTGGCTGCCACGATTAAGCTGTGTAGTCCCAACTCTATAACCTGCAGGCTGCCACGATTAAGCTGTGTAGTCCCAACTCTATAACCTGCAGGCTGCCACGATATAGCTATGTCTTGTCCTAACTAGTTTACCAACAGATGTTGCTTTACTGTAAATCTAGAAATTAATGCGTCTCCAATTTAATACTACTGCTGCCCCCCAGCAATAAATGCGACTCAATATCAGTGCATCTCCCCCCATCCCTTCCCCAGTGGAATGATGCATATCCTTACCTTATTCCAAGCTGAAATTAATCCAATGAAACATATAGCACCACTTATAAGCGCTGAGTAGAGCTCTTTCCTAGAACCAGCACACGGTATATGTGTTTATTCTGTTGACTAGCATTAAGGGAAAGGCAATAAGTAAATTGAACCAACAACAGTTCACTGATTGGTACGCGGAGAAGGTGTCAACAAATTTGAAGGCAGATGACAAGACAATGGATGTAGATCTGAGGAGTGTGCTGCTCGTTGGGTCGTGAAGGCCTCTGACAATTTGTTGAGTGGGTGGCATCTGTCTGGACTGCTGGAGTGGTCAATGATGCCTATTTTGACACGAGTGGATAGAACTCTTTGACCCAGCAGTGATAACTCACCGAATGTCTATTGTATAATTCCTGCTCAATAAACCGAGGTGACTATGCTTGTCGTAAAAGGCGACTAACAGGATCGAGTGGTCAGGCTAGCTGACTTAGTTGATGTATGCCATCGATCCCAAGTGTGTGGATCGATGCTCATGATATCAATCACTGGATTGTCTGGTCCAGACTCGATTATTTACAGACTGCCGTCATATAGCTGGAATATTGCTGTGTGCAGCGTTAAACAACAAACCAACCAACAAATCAATAGACCGTCTTGGCATTTCTGCTATCCAGATTGTGCAGTGAGGCTGTCTTATTGTCAATAGTCATTTCGGAGACATAAATGCGAAGTTTCATTAATTCGAACAAAGACCACTTGCATTTTTTGCATTCAATTCAAGATTTACAGTACCTTGTCCTAAACGTTATTACTTACAGGCTGACATAACTGTAACCTGAGGGAAGTGTAAAACATTCACCTGGACTAAATGTTAACTAAATAGAAAATGATAAACTGTACAGTGAAGCTCACTGGATGTATGGTTGATTGTTTCTGAAAACTCCATCCGTGATCCTGTTTGTGTTTGTTACCTGTAGATGCCGGACCGCAACCTAAAGTGGTCCGTTCAGTGGTGCCTGACCATCCCTCCTGGCACCGGCCACATCATCAACGCCCCTGCTGGTACCCCTGCCATCGTCATCAACCTCGTCAAGGGCAAGATGGTACTCATGGTAGGTGAAGTCTTCTCCTCACTTTGGGAAATTTGGGAATCTTAGCACATAATATTGTTCATTATACTAGTTGGGCCACGGATGGCCCAGTCGTGTAAGGCGCTGAAATTCGCTGTGCAGAGTTGCCTCCCTTGGACATGCCAGAAACCTATGGTCGTGGGTTCGAATCCCGGTTTGCTCCGATTATGTTTCTAGGTTTGTCAGCACCATACCCGTGCTTGTGGGTTTCAACGAAGTGGTAAACATCTAAGACCTGCATCAATTTGGGCTTTCCTCCCACATTAAGCTGACACGTCACGATATAACTGGAATACTGTTAACAGCGGCTTTAAACACAACACACTCACTCACTCATTATACTAGTATAATTCTATTTATACATTACATCACACTTATACTTTATAATAGACTTTAGATACATAGAACTAAACACAAGTCTAATTAATGGCAACAATGGCATATAGGAAATAGTGTGAGTTCTTCTGAAAATTGCTCTGAACTAAGTTTAAAATCCATTGAATTTCTGGACAAGCAATATTTTTCTAGTGTGTGATTCTGTGGAAAGCCTATGAATTTGTCTTTGTACAGCTGCAGCTTACACGTCTGAATCTGTCGCTGCCGATTGGGAAAGAGCCACCATCACTGATCATCCCCCTGTTCTACGACATCGGCTCCAACACCGTCACCCACCTGGACATCCGCAACACCACTGGTCAGCAGCAGCAGGTGATGCCCAACACACCACAGAGTCAGACCATCTCGGCTGTCAACATGATGCTGAAGAGATACATGGACATGAACCCCAACTCGGCTCACTGCGTCATCTTCCCAGCCCTGCAGGAGCTCATGGTCAACCTGGTTCTGCCTGTACAGAACCTGCCTCATGTCGGACATTAGCTGACCACTGTGTCGGAGGTGTCATTGGTAACCTACCTCATGTCGGACATTACCTAACCACTGTATCAGAGGTGCCATTGGTAACCTGCCTCATGTCGGACATTAGTTGACCAATGCATCAGAGGTGTTACTGGTAACCTGCCCCATGTCGGACATTAGCTACTGTCAGCTTTCAGTTTAAGACTTTCATCTGTGTCATGGGGCACGGGTGTCCACGTTATCTTGTGCAGAGTTGCATCCCTTAGGGTGTGCCAGAATCCTGTGATTGTTGGCTGGATTCCAAGATTCACCCTGATTATGAATCTTGGTTTGCAGCGCCATACCAAAACTTTTGGGTTTCGCTAAAATTGTGAAAGTGTACGACCTGAGGCCTGAGGCCTCTATCCAACATGAAACAGGCTCTGGTATTAGTGAAATACTGTTAAGGCCAGTTCACTCACAACTGCAAGACAGATGGGTTTGTTTAGCCTGCGTTGCAGATCCAATCGATAGTATGATGTTGGTTGATGTCAGCCATCTGTACTGATTGTTGACCAGTCATGTCAAACAGCTGCAAAAATTTTCGTTAATAATCATGGGAAGAAAATATTTTCATTCATAGATTCATTGACATAGTATTATTAAGATATTTTGTGAAACATAGATAAATTATGTTATCCGATGAAGACTTAAGCCTACTAAAAATATCTGTTTGGTCTTTGATGTTCAAAGGAATTTTACCTGATGGACTGATCCTGTTTCTTTTCAAATCCAAAGTGGTTTCAGATTCGTCTTGTTTCCATAGTTTGTGTTTTGTTGATGTATATAGTTAATATAGTTTCATCCAACCACCATCTTCATTCAATCCTGTCACCATTCTTTGAAATGAAAGAATGTATTTCCACTACACAGTGGTATATTTGTACAAAGCAATGTGAAACCAGTGGATAATAAACAACCTATAATCCTCCTTATGCTTTATGCTGTTGTTGTTGTGCATCACACCTGTACTCATGGGTTTCACAAGCATCAAGACCTGCATCAGTGCAGGCTTTCCTCTCACATGCTGGAGTGGTGGGGTAGCCTAGTGGTTAAAGCGTTTGCTTGTCACAACGAAGGCCAGGGTTCAACAATGTGAAAAGCCCAATTCTGGTGTCCCCCGTCGTGATATTGCTGGAATATTGATAAAAGTGGCGTAAAACCATACTCACTCACTTACTCACATGTGGACAGGCAATGGTATAACAGAATAACTGTTCACATTACATACAGCACAACTCATTCCCTATTGTTATTTTGAACAAGGGTGAGTTTTACTGGATGCTGCTTTTAGCAATATTTTCTAGCTGACTAGGCCAGACAAACTAGTGTACAATATAATAAGCAACACCCCACTGTCCGGGTATGATGACATACTGTCAATCAATGACATAGTTTATTATGGACAAATTATATCCTGCAATCTCCACAGGCAGCTGGCGTCAAGGGCTAAAATGAGGACTGTGGTTACAATTTGTGAGAGGTGCTTAAATGGGGACTCTGGGTACAATGCGTGAGAGGTGCTAAAATGAGGACTGTGGGTACAATGTGTGAGTGGTACTAAAATGAGGGCTTCGGGTACAATGTGTGAGAGGTGCTTAAATGAGGACTCTGGGTACAATGTGTGAGAGATGCTTAAATGAGGACTCTGGGTACAATGTGTGAGAGATGCTTAAATGAGGACTCTGGGTACAATGTGTGAGAGATGCTTAAATGAGGACTCTGGGAACAATGCGTGAGAGGTGCTTAAATGAGGACTCTGGGTACAATGTGTGAGAGGTGCTTAAATGAGGATTCCGGATACAATTTGTGAGTAGTGCTAAAATGAGGACTGTTGGTACAATGTGTGAGTGGTGCTAAAATGAGGACTCTGGGTACAATGCGTGAGAGGTGCTTAAATGAGGACTCTGGGTACAATGTGTAAGAGGTGCTTAAATGAGGATTCCGGATACAATTTGTGAGTAGTGCTAAAATGAGGACTGTTGGTACAATGTGTGAGTGGTGCTAAAATGAGGACTGTTGGTACAATGTCTGAGTGGTGCTAAAATGAGGATTCTGGGTACAATGTGTGAGTGGTGCTAAAATGAGGACCCTGGGTACAATGTGTGAGTGGTGTTAAAATGAGGACTCTGGGTACAATGTGTGAGAGGTGAAGATCCAGGTAGAGAATCCGGATCCGGGTTGTCAGGGTCGCTGACTTGGTTGATGCATGTCATCGTTATCCAATTGCATGGACCAATGCACATGATATCAGTCACTGGATTGACTGGTCCAGACATGATTATTTACAGACCATCATCATATAGCTGGAATATTGCTTACTGCAGCAAACAAAGAACAAACAAATATGTGTGAACTGTCTGTCATCGTTGCCTGAATCATTGCTCATACTACAAACTGACGCTCAGTGGGTATTCAGGTTAGAATGGTGCACCTTGGTCAAGCCATCAGAAGGGTGTACCTCGAGCTCGGACAAGCTATCAGAACGGTGTACTTTGGTCAAGTCATCAGGAAATTCTACCTCGGTCAAGTTGTAAGAACAGTGCCTCGGTCAAACCATCAGAAATATGTACCAAGGTCAAGCAGGCAGAATGGTGTGCCTCCGTCAAGCCACCAGAACGTTGTACCTAGGTCAAGCCATCACAAATGTATACCAAGGTCAAGCTACCAGAACAGTGTTCCTCGGTCAAGCCGTCAGGACAGTGTACTTCGGACAATCCGCCAGAACAGTTTATTCAGATCAAACCGTCAGGACGGTGTACTTCGGACAATCCGCCAGAACAGTTTATTCAGATCAAACCGTCAGGACGGTGTACTTTGGACAAGCCGCCAGAACGGGTTATTCAGATCAAACCGTCAGGACGGTGTACTTCGGACAAGCCGTCAGAACAGTTTATTCAGATCAAACCGTCAGGACAGTGTGCTTCCGACAAGCCGTCAGAACGAGTTATTCAGATCAAACCGTCAGGACGGTGTACTTCGGACAAGCCGTCAGAACGAATTATTCAGATCAAACCGTCAGTACAGTGTACTTCCGACAAGCCGCCAGAACGAGTTATTCAGATCAAACCGTCAGGACAGTGTGCTTCCGACAAGCCGTCAGAACGAGTTATTCAGATCAAACTGTCAGTACAGTGTACTTCCGACAAGCCGCCAGAACAGTTTTTCAGATCAAACCGTCAGTACAGTGTACTTGCGACAAGCCGCCAGAACGAGTTATTCAGATCAAACCGTCAGGACAGTGTACTTCCGACAAGCCGCCAGAACGAGTTATTCAGATCAAACCGTCAGTACAGTGTACTTCCGACAAGCCGCCAGAACAGTTTATTCAGATCAAACCGTCAGGACAGTGTACTTCCGACAAGCCGCCAGAACGAGTTATTCAGATCAAACCGTCAGGACAGTGTACTTCCGAAAAGCCGCCAGAACAGTTGATTCAGATCAAACCGTCAGGACAGTGTACTTCCGACAAGCCGCCAGAACGAGTTATTCAGATCAAACCGTCAGGACACTGTGCTTCCGACAAGCCGCCAGAAATGGTTATTCAGATCAAACCGTCAGGACAGTGTACTTCGGACAAGCCGTCAGAACAGTTTATTCAGATCAAGCCGTCAGGACAGTGTACTTCAGACAAGCCATGAGAACAGTTTATTCAGATCAAACCGTCAGGACAGTGTGCTTCCACCAAGCCGCCAGAACAGTTTATTCAGATCAAACCGTCAGTACAGTGTTCTTCCGACAAGCCGCCAGAACAGTTTATTCAGATCAAACCGTCAGGACACTGTGCTTCCGACAAGCTGCCAAAACAGTTTATTCAGATCAAACCGTCAGGACAGTGTGCTTCCACCAAGCTGCCAGAACAGTTTATTCAGATCAAACCGTCAGGATAGTGCTTCCACCAAGCCGCCAGAACGAGTTATTCAGATCAAACCGTCAGGACAGTGTGCTTCCACCAAGCCGCCAGAACGAGTTATTCAGATCAAACCGTCAGGACACTGTGCTTCCACCAAGCTGCCAGAACAGTTTATTCAGATCAAACCGTCAGGACAGTGTGCTTCCGACAAGCCGCCAGAACAGTTTATTCAGATCAAACCGTCAGGACAGTGTACTTCCGACAAGCCGCCAGAACAGTTTATTCAGATCAAACCGTCAGTACAGTGTACTTCCGACAAGCCGCCAGAACGGGTTATTCAGATCAAACCGTCAGGACAGTGTACTTCGGGCAAAGCCTTCAAACAGTTTATTCAGATCAAACCGTCAGACCTCGGACATGCCGTCAGAACGGCGTACTCAGGTCCAACCGTCAGGTCAGTGGTACATGTATCTCTTCATGTAGTATATTGTCAGACTGTTCCACAAAGCAGTATTATAGAAATCCCGACTCTTGAGGGAAAATACATGTCCCTTAATTGGCGGTGAATAAAACAAAGCCGCAGTATCAAAGAGCGCAGAAAAGACTTTGGTAAACACCAACAATGCCAACGTCAACTGATGGAACTGAACTATCTTTGAGCATCAGGGGAAATCAGGTTTTTCTTTACCAACATGTCTGTGTAATGAGCTTAGGAACCAGCGCAGTAAAGATTTTGTCAGAAAAGATGAAAGCAAATTGAACGAATATGCGAGTGATAACGTTTAGGAACATGGAACTTAAACCAACCACTTGATTACTGTGGAAACGATATCTTTGTTTTGGGGGAGATTAAGGATGGTTTTGTGCGGGTCTAGAAAACATTAAACATATAAAATCAGTAATGCTGTAAACATACACACGAGTAACACCGAACTTATTGCCATCGACGTTTGAAGTGTTCGGCGTGTATGATGTATTAGTGCTCGTTTTAAGGACAACCTCCTGTGTGTATGATGTATGAGTGCTCGTCTTAAGGACCACCGTCTGGGTGTATGCTGTATTAGTGCTCGTTTTAAGGACAACCTTCTGTGTGTCTGCTGTAGTAGCGCACGTTTTAAGGACAACCTTCTGTGTGTCTGCTGTAGTAGTGCGTGTTTTAAGAACCACCTTCTGGGTGTATGCTGTATTAGTGCTCGTTTTAAGGACAACCTTCTGTGTGAATGCTGTATTAGTGCTCATTTTAAGGACAACCACCTGTGTGTATGCTATAGTAGTGAGTGTTTTAAGGACCACCTTCTGTGTGTATGCTGTAGTAGTGCGTGTTTTAAGGACCACCTTCTGTGTGTATGCTGTAGTAGCGCACGTTTTAAGAACCACCTTCTGGGTGTATGCTGTATTAGTGCTCATTTTAAGGACAACCACCTGTGTGTATGCTATAGTAGTGAGTGTTTTAAGGACCACCTTCTGTGTGTATGCTGTAGTAGTGCGTGTTTTAAGGACAACTTTCTCTGTGTATGCTGTAGCAGTGCGTGTTTTAAGGACCACCTTCTGTGTGTATGCTGTAGTAGCGCACGTTTTAAGAACCACCTTCTGGGTGTATGCTGTATTAGTGCTCATTTTAAGGACAACCTTCTGTGTGTATGATGTAGCAGTGCACGTTTTAAGGACAACCTTCTGTGTGTATGCTGTTGTAGCGCACGTTTTAAGGACAATCTTCTGTGTGTATGCTGTAGTAGCGCACGTTTTAAGGACAACCTCCTGTGTGTATTCTGTAGTAGTGCGTGCTTTAAAGACCGCCTTCTGTGTGTATGCTGTAGTAGCGCACGTTTTAAGGACAACCTCCTGTGAGTATGCTATAGTAGTGCGTCTTTTAAGGACATCCTGTGTGCATGATGTAGTAGCACACGCTTTAAGGACAACCTTCTGTGTGTATGATGTGAGTGATGGGTGAAATGAGGTTTAATGTCGCGCTATGTAGCGACGTGCATCTACATAGCGACATGCATCTACGTGTGTGTGTGGCTGCTTGTACTAGTCCGGACTGATGCCGATTAATAGTGCTAGCCCACTGAGATACC